AAACCCTGTCCTTGGGTTCACTGTGTGATGGGAATATATACACAGAACATTTTCTGGGGCCTGACATTGATCAAATTATATTGTTACATTGTTTGCATGTACGAATATGTAACAATAAATCCCTCCATTATGTACAACTATAGTGCACCATATAAAATGWGGAAATGGGGGCTGGGCCTGGGGCTCAGAGGTAAAGCTCTTGCCTGGTATGTATGAGGCACTAGATTCAATCCTCAGCACCACATAAAAATAAAGACATGTTGTCCACCTACAACTACAAAATTTAAAGAAAAAAAAAAAAAACGAAATGTGACAGGGGGTTCACTTGATGCCTTGACTATAACTCTTGTGGCTTTGAAACTTAACATGTTTTTTTCTTTTCCCAATCTGTTTTCCCCTAAATTTCTCCTCCCTGGTCTTCTTTCCCTAAATTTCTCCTCCTTCATCTTTTTCCCCCTAACCTTCTCCTTCCTGATCTCCCCTTTGATCTTCTTTTCCCTGATATTCTTTTCCTAAACTTATTCTCCCTCATCTTCTTTTCTCTAATTTTCTCCTTCCTAATCTCGTTTTCTTTGAATTTCCTCTATAAAAGCCCCCTGTTTCTGCAGACGGACAGAATCACAGCCTTGGGGACAGGAATCCCCTGTGTTTCTCCTTTAGCAAAAGCAATAAGATGTCTTTTTCTTTTTTTCTTAAAACTGTGTCCTTGTTATTGGATTGGCATCAGGGACAGGGAACAAGCTTTCAGCAACAGAAAGAGAAAAAAATAATTTCCAAGGATAGTGTGAGGGCATGCAGGGCAGAGACACACTTTAGTTTTTATGGCAGTGCATGACGATAACCAATGTCAGATTATAATCCTGGGTTAAATCTCCAGGTAGGTTTAAATGCTTCCCTCAGAAGTGTCATATGTAGGAAGAAGAGAAATGAAATTGAGAAAGAGTACACAGCAATCCTTCAGCAGGAGTATAGGTATATTATTTTTACATTTTTACATTACATCACATATTCTGAACCCATTTATCATGGTAACATTTAAGAATGAATGAAGCCATATCTTTGACAATACTGAGTCTTCTGATTGAAATGCACCTTCCTCTCACCAACTGCACCTCACTCCCCATATCCAGTCAAAGGATGTAATTACCTTCTTAAATCAGTAGTGGGAAACAGTCTCTGTGATTTGTCACCAAAAGCTTCTGATTGCCAAAGGGCATAGCTTATCTGACTCTGGACCATTTTGTGATGGTAACTTCTGGGAGTAGGGTGTGCTGGAAAACACTCTGGAAACCACATTGGATTAGAGATCTGTTTGGAAGATAGAATGGACAAGAAGGTGAATTCAAATTAAGGTGACTTCTGGGAGAGACATCTGAAAACCCAGCCCCCTTATTCTGTATATTCACAAGTGTTCTTCACTAGTCAGCTGGGGGATCCATGAACAAATACAGATTTGCCTCCGGAGTAAAGCAAAAAAAAAAGCCAAAATTTAGACTTGAAATAGCGGACATTTTGTTTTCATATACTCAAAACAGAAATACCTCAAGTTACTAATGAAGTTGGGATAGAGACACACTATTTAAAATTCTCTTGAAAAATGCTGGAATGTTAAAAGATTGCTAACGACTTTATTTTTATTTGCTAATTTATTTGTACTAGGGATTGAACCCAGAACATTTTTGTCACTGAGCTACATCCTCCAATTTTTAAAAGTTTTGAGACAGAGCTGGACATGGTGATTCATGCCTGTAATCCCACTGGCTCTGGAGGCTGAGGTGGGAAGATGGTGAGTTCAAAACCAGTCTCAGCAAAAGCAAGGTGTTCAGCAACTCAATGAGAACTTGTCTCCAAATAAAATACAAAATAGGGCTGGGGAGGTGGCTCAGTGGTTGAGTGCCCCAGAGTCCAATCTCCAGTACCAGAGAATCTTGCTAAATTGTTAAGGATTTTGATAAATTGCTGAGGCTGGCCTCGAACTTGCAATCATCCTGCCTCAGTCTCCCAAATGCTGGGATCACAGGCATGTGTCACTATGCCTGACAATAACCTTTATTTATATAGATAGGCTGAAAGTGAAACATTTTGTCACACCAATGTGTTAGGGTGGCTGAAAGCTTTGGCAACCTTCCCACCACCAGAGTCTGATGCGAAGTGAGAGTATTTGAGGGAGGCTGAGCTGCTCATTCACTTGACCACACGTCATAAGGTACACTGAGATTTTGCATGTGGTTTGCCTTTGGCATTTGCCCTCTCCTGTGTTCCTATGCTGCATGAGAAGCATTACCAGCAAGCTGATCCAACACACCCAAAGCCAGAGCACCAGAAGCTACCTCTAGAAGGCTTTAGTAAGCAAAAGCTCTGAAATCCAGTTCATTGATCTTATTCTCTTTCAAAAGGTCTTTCTTGCCTCTGATGGCTACTTATACACTCAGGGATGAAAACAATTCATTAGTGGAATCTAAACAATGGACACCTTAAAAGCCCCAGCAAAAAAAATCATATTTCCTGAAGATTCTAACGAATTTTTCTCAAAAGGGAACTAGGAAGAATCGAGAATTTTTTAAAGGACGACCTTAAGAAAGAATAACTGGCATAGTCTCGGTTTGATCCAGACAAGTTGAGCAGGATAAACAAAGCCCTTCAGAACTGATTTGATCACATGGGCACTTTTTTATTGAGAATTTATATTGTGCTCATCAATTAATGTACCTTAAGTTGTAATCTTTTTTTTTTTTAATAAGGGTCTTTATTTATTTACTTTATTTTTTAAAGAGAGAGTGAGAGAGGAGAGAGAGAGAGAGAATTTTTTAATATTTATTCTTTAGTTCTTGGCGGACACAACATCTTTGTTGGTATGTGGTGCTGAGGACCGAACCCGGGCCGCACGCATGCCAGGCGAGCGCGCTACCGCTTGAGCCACATCCCCAGCCCCTTAAGTTGTAATCTTTACACCAATCCTATGAGTTAGGTATAGTGTTTTGCTATAATGAAATAGTTGTCTGCTAAGAACACCTGTTATAAAAATAGCAATTTCAGGGGGAAGGGGTTTAAAGTTTCAGAATAAAATGGTTTTGTTTTTATGCAGCATTCCTGGACTCCATCATCCCTGCTCCTTATTCTACACCGCCTTCTCTGCAGACATTGACCCACTAGAAGATGGAAGGCTGATCCGCGTGCATAGAGAGGCTGTGGTACCAGAGGATGGGCTGCTGAGTTCTAGGGGCAGCAGGAGTGGAGCCTGCCACTTCGTCAGAGGAGCACTTCCCACTTCTGGGTCATTCCTGTAAGTGGTCTGCCTCAAGCTGCAGCCCACAAGGAAGCAGTACCTGGAGAAACATCAGTCTCTTCTGGTGTGGGCAGGACGGTGAGGAACATTACTTACCTAGGGACAAGGGGGAGGGGTGGGGGGTGGAGGCGGATCTTCGGATACAGAAGAGTTTGTGCTCAAAACGCACCTCTGTAATCAAAACCTGGAAGAGGGGGTGAATCACTGGAGAAACCGCCATATACATTAGGTAGAGTCTTCCAAGGAGGCCCAACAATGTTCATTGAATTACTAAAGTGAGCCGGAAGTTCATTGAGCCTGAAGTGATGGGAGTTGTCAGTTGGGAAATGCTGGGTTTTTTTGTTGATGTTGTTAGGGGGGATTGAATTCAGGGGCACTCGAMCACTGAGCCACATCTCCAGCCCTATTTTGTATTTTATTTAGAAACAGGGTCTTACCGAGTTGCTTAGTGCCTCGAAGTTGCTGGGGCTGGCTTTGAATTTTTTAAAAATATTTTTTTAGTTTTCGGTGGACATAACATCTTTATTTTTTATGTGGTGCCGAGGATTGAACCCAGGGCCCGAGCAAGCCAGGCGAGCGCATTACCACTTGAGCCACCTCCCCAGCCCTGGCTTTGAATTTTTGATTCTCCTGGCTAAGAAACATCAGTCATCAGTCTCTGTAATCCCAGACCACTGGGATTACAGGTGTACGCTACTGGGCATGGCTGGGAAGTGCWTAATTTAGATGGATTCTTGTCATTTGGGGATTAATCCACCTCAGGTAGTATGGGCACATTGGAAAACACAGGCAGACAACAGAAGACCTGGATCCTAAATCTGAATGTCACTGGTACTAGCTGCACCACCTGCATGCACGTCACTGAAACTGAGGCTCTGCAGAGCACCCCCTGCCTGTAAGGCCCTCCCTGACTCACAGCTTGTCCTGAGAGCTGCATGAAGCCTCTTTGGTGCTACCATATCCCATGACATCAGCAGCCAGTCCCTCACACCAGGACGATTCCTCTTCATGAAGTTTSTGAGGACAAGATGAATTGAATGTACGATGAATTGAAATGCATTCTGCTCTCATGTACAACTAAGTAGAACAAATAAAACATTAAAAAAAAAAAAAAAAAACCAATGGTAGAATTTAAATACTGACTRTACCTAACTATACCACTTTTGAAGTCAGGATGTGTCCTGACAGCACTAAAACTCACCAGGGATTATCTCTGTAATTTCAATACCTTAAGTGTTTAATACTTGTGGACTATAGTAATTAAACTTTTTTTTAAACAAACAGTTACATAAAATATTATTATTATTGGTAATAGGGATTGAATCCAGGGTGCTTACCCACTGAGCCACATCCTCAGCCCTTTTTATCTTTTATTTTGAGATAGGGACTCACTAAGTTGCTGAGGGCCTCACTTAAGTTGTTGAGGCTGGCTTTGAACGCACAATCCTCCTGAGCTGCTGGGATTACAGGCATGTGTTACCATGCCCAGCATAAAATATTATTATATTATAAAATATTATTCTTAAACTGTTAGTTACTGAATAACAAAAAAATTACAGAGACACAGTTTTCTCAAAAAAATCTGTAGAGAATTAGAGGAAACTACCTTTTGGTGTAATACAGGTTTCCCAAAATTATCTGTGTAATTTATTTATGTTAATTTTCATACACAAATGTTATCAAGCAAAAATTGCACACAAAGTTACACACAAAAGTTGGTAAAAGAATTTATTATGTGGCTTGGGAGGTCTTTGCATTCTAACAGAAAAGCATGTTTCCACACCTCATTTAACCTAACAAAGTATCTATTTGTGACTTTACTGGATGGCTGCAGCACTATACTATGAACACCTGACTTTTCACATGTACTTCGGTGCAATTATACAGTAGACGCCTCTTTTTCCAGGAAATAAAAATATTCTCATTCTAAACTCAAAAGGGAACAAAGACATTAAAAATGAACAATTTAAAGTTTCTGCACCACTTCATAAAAGACTGCAATAAAAATCAAAACAGTATGCTGCTTCACATACAAAGAAGAGACATCTGCCACAGTCCAGTCAAACCTTTGTAGGAATGATTTAGCATCTGGGTTTATGTTTACTGCACTTTCACATATGACAGGTGGAACTGTACCACGATGAAGAATACTCTCATTTGCACAAGAGGTTCAAATATTGGACTCCGGCACAGGAAATGTCTCTTGGGGCTTAGTAATATACAAATGGGTAGAAAAAAAATCGCCTTAAGAAAAATTTCACAATTGTTTGACCAAACATCTGAAACGTTTTTATCACAGCTTTCATATATTAAAAAAAAAAGTCTCCTCCAGAGATGAAGCTCCTTTATGAAACAACCTAGTCGCTATCATCTGACCCATGTTCTGAGCCTCGATCCGAGGCCTCGTTGTTGGATCCCTCTGGCTCGGATTCGTTGCCAGAGCCTTGCCCGGAACCCTCGTTGTCAGACCCTCGCTCCGACTCGCGCTCCGACTCGGCACTGGGAGAGGCCGCGCGGGAGTCGTCGTTCTCCGAGGCCGCCGAGGGGCTTCTCCCAGACTGCGCGGACTCGTTGTCAGACTGTTCAGAACCCGAAGGCCTTCTCTTTCTGGATGGCTGGTCGCTGTCGGAATCCTCATCTGACTGCTGTCTGCGGGGCCTGCGGGGACTGCCCGCCTCACTGCCAGACTTGTTGGGGTTCTCATCAGAGTCGCTCTCGGACGAGGCGCGTCTCTTTGGCCGTTCATCCTCGTCGGAGTCGCTGTTGCTGTTGCTGTTCCTGGGGTGTCTGCAGGAGAACAATGCAGGTTAGACACTGAAGCCTCTGGCCATCTCAGCTCAGCTCAGGCTCAGCTTAGGCTGTGATGATTGGAGAATGCGTTTTTACAAAATAAAGACACTTAAGGATGATTCTCACTGGCTCACGGCAGGCACTTTTTGTGAGAATTTTCCCAATTTCATACCCAAAGGAAAAGGAAGGGATTTGTTAATCTTATAAATAAATTAATAGCCACCAAGGTAAAACCAGGATCTCAATGGCTGTCAAGATTCTGAAGTCCCAAGGACTCCCTGTCCTATGTACCATCTGAACTACCAGACACCTAAAGAAGAGTGAAGTCACTGTTTTCTTCTGTCGTGGGATTTCTATCCTAGATCCCCTGAACCATGATGAGACTTTATTCAAGACAGGAAGCTGGACTAAGCAGGTCCTGCAGCTTATCTACCTTTGCTCCCAAGCTTCACCTCTCCCCCCATGGTCAGCTGATACACGAAAAGGAAAAGGAACTGGGAGTCTTGGCTTGGCTTCCTGGAATCACGCAGACAGCTGCTGGAGAGAAAGAAGGCGCACTTCTCCAGCATTGTCAGTCCTACACAGTTCAGTCTAGGAAGGTCAAACATATTATTCTCTTCAGAAACTAAGACATCCTACAGAGTAAAGAAAGGCTCTTTGCACCTAAATCTGAAAGAAGAAACCAGACACACATTATATAACCCAGGTCACTCTGAGAAAACATGAAGAATGACTGAAAAGGGGATAGTGTACACTCATTCTGTATATTAAAGTCCATAGGTCCTGGGGCTGGGGCTGGAGCCTAGTGGCAGAGCACTTTCCTAGCATGTGTGAGGCACTGGGTTTGATCCTCAAAATAAACACATAAAATAAAGGCATACTGTCCATCTACAATTATGGGGAAAAAAGAGTCCATAGGTCCTCTATGATCTATTTCACTTCAATCCATTTGACTAAATACACAAACACATTTGATGATGGTCAGGATAAAGTTTAACTGACTCAAGTGCTTCAAATACACTTGGCCTTGATCTCAGGCATAGGCCTAGCAGCAGCTCAGCCTCATATTGGACAGACCTTTCTACCTTCACATTTTAACAGACTCATTCTTCGAAAACCACACATTTCATTCCACTGATCATGCATGTAGCAGACCAGGATGACACTGTGGGAGAATGGGCCAAGCAGTGCGTTAGGGAAAGCAATCCAAATTTGTTCAGCCAGTGTCTTCAGAGCAGCACTTCAAATCCTTACAGATGGATTTCTACACATTTCTACCCTATGAGGCTAGTCCCTCAGCAGTACCCTTATTCCCCTCAACATGTTAACGTCTCACTTTTGCCTCACGTTTAAGTCTCAACATCCTTTCTGTTACAAATAATATTTCTTAACAACTTCCATCATCAACTCCAGATTAGATATGGTCCCTAGAGCAATAAATTACTGCTTCATCAGGTGGGATGTGAGCTGAAGTCCTGTCTAAGCACCATAGGGTAAGCCCTCCAAGGACCAGAGGTGAATCACCACTGCCCTCAGCAAGGGAGGAAACAAATAACCATGAAGCTCCCCATCTGCACACGGCCAGGACCAGGCTGCTACTACAGTCAGTCAGTCAGTGACAGAGCAGCAAAATTAAAGTTCATTTAGGAGGATGTTACCTAGGAAGTAACAGCTAATATCCAGGAAGAAGTAAGATTTCAAGGATTTGTTCTATGAGGGAGAAACATGTAAAAGGATAAATTGACAGGGTTGGAATAAGAGGTCAGCTAAGGTTTCTTCATGTTGTAAGATTCTAAGAAGCTGGAGAGAAAAGACATTTTGGCACAATGACCACTCCTAGTTATCTGTTTCCCCCAATTTTTCAAAAGTCTCTTTTCCCTCATATTAAAAAAAGAAAAAGAAAAGTGTATTTTCCCTAATCCAGACAGGGTATTTAACAACCACTTTTGGTTTTACCACATCAGTAGGAGACTTTACAAGGAAAATATTCTTACCCCTCATCAGCAATTTTTAGCTTATCCTCATCTGAAGAATCATCGCTTGATGATATTATGGCTTTAGATTTTATTTTCCCCTTCATTGAAGGAGGCAGACGTTCTGGCTTGGGCTAAAGAAAGAATGTCAAACATAATAAATAAATTAGTCAAGACTCTTACATTAATTAGGACATCTTATATTAAATTAGGTTTGCATAATAATGATATAATCACAAAGCCACCAATAAACTTAAAAAAAAAAATCTGTACTTGAAGAAGCTGCAAGGAGAGAATAATTCCAATGTGCTATGATTTTCTGTTTTATCGGGGGTGGGAATTAAAAAGAAAAAAAAAAAAAAACAAGGAAAAAAGAGGATTATGAACTTACAGTCTTCTTCTTCTCTGCTCTTGGTGGACGGCGCTTCTTTGGTCTGGGCCCATTTTCTGTTTCATCATCATCTGAGCCCTCTTCTCCCTTCGGAGGTCTTAAACAGTGAACACCAAGAGTTTGTCAAGAGGCAGTCATGCCTGTGAAGTCTACGACTACTTGATTATCAAGTATTACCCCCTGCATGTGTGCTGACCTCAGCCATACTGCACACTTAAAGGCAGAGTCGACAATTTACTCTTGGTGCACCTGTCTCAGTCTGCAAAATCATATTTATGCAATGTTTGGGACTTAGTCACCGCTGAGCTCCCCCCTCATCAATCTACATTTGAATCCTGCCCTTGGTAGAGTGATTGAGAATGGGAGAAAACATCCAGTGTCCAGAGCTCCACATCTTTCCCCTCCTTTTCCTTCCCAACTACTGACTCCAGGCCTGCTACTAATGTCCTTATCATAGCTCTAATTAACCCAGGTCAGTGTCTCAATGAATTCACCAGGTTCTTGCCCATGTGTAATCAGCTAAGGGCCAGGAAGGGCAGGTTTAGGTAATATAACTGAATGAAGGTTTCCGGATAGGAAAGTGCCATGAGAAAGGAACAGTACTGCTCAGCAGGCACCCTTGATCTTACAGCAAATGACACTGGGTGGTTTAAAGGGCACTTTCATACACGTTCACATTTTAGGCGCTGAGCAAAATCATGAGGTGGTCATCACTGCTACCGTTTTACAGAGAGAAACCTGAGATTCAGTTGACTTGCCAAGATTGATATGAACGAGTGTAAATATAATCCACATCTTCTCCTTCTACATCACATACATTTTCAAATAAGTATTCTAATTTTAAAGTCACAAAACAAGTGATGATTAATTTGTAGCTCTCAGAAAGATGGAATGGAAATTAAGCACCCGGGGGATTCTGAAATGGGGTCTGTCTTAGGATTAAAGTTGAGAGTGGGGGCACAAAAGTTTCACTGTTAGGGAAGATTAAGTGGTTCATAAATTCTCCACATACTCAGAAGATGAAGGGTCTTTTGCCACTTTTGTAAGGCTATTTAAAACACTAAGGATGATAGTACCTTCTCCTCTTTTTCTTTTTTCTCTCACCACCCTCTTCCTCTTCTCCTTCTTGTTCACTACCACTGCCCTTTCTTCTCTTCTTCTTTTTGGATATAGGTAGGTCATCATCAGTATCATCATTGACAAATTCATCAAACTCTCCTCCTTTCTTAGAACGCTAAAATCCAAACAAGAAGACAATCAGTTTTTTTCAGGCTGGTGTAGTGGGGGCTACAGGTTAGGAAGAGGCCATACAATATTGTTTATAGTCATTTGGCAAATGAAAGATCTCTTACTAAGCTACATGAAAGAGGCTTGGCTAGGCCCTTGTTTGAAAGACTCCTAATGGAAGAATGTTTCAACTGTTAAAAAGTTGCAAAAGTCATCAACTCAAGAGGTTACTACAAGGTAAAAGGCATTTAGCTAACTATGGAATGCATTTCTAAATATGAATATTCAACTTAAGATGAAATTATGTCCTTGATATATGCACTGTAAGTTAAAAATGCATTGAATACATCTAACCCACTGAACATCACTGCTTAGCAACACAGCATGCTGTCACCTTGATTGTTTACCCTTATCATCACTCAACTGACTGGGAGTTGTTTCACTACTGCTGCCCTGCATCTCGATAGAGTATTGTACTGCGTATCCCTATCCAGGAAAAAGATTAAAATTCAAAATTCAAAGTACAGTCTCTATTGAATGCTATCATTTTTACATCACTATGAATTCAAAATTGTGAGCTGAATGGTTGTTAAGTTAGGAACCAACGTGGCTGAATGGTAGAGCATTGGCCTAGCGTGTGTGTGGCCCTGGGTTCAACCCCCAAGCACCACCAAAAAAAAAAAAAAAAAAAGGGGCAGGGGGACAAGTCTATACTAAATGCCATTTAGATAATTCTGTACTGGAAGACTCTTAATGATGGAGAAAGTTAAAGCTAAGAACCAAGCAGAGAGTAAATTTAACCAATTGTCTTCATTTCTAAAAGCCAAAAGACAGAGATGATGTCATTAGTAATGGCAGGAATACTGTCTTACCCGTCCACCACCTCCACCTCTTTTCTTCTCTTTTGTTGCTTCAGTCTCACCAGTAAACATAAGAATATTTTTGGTCTTCTCCACATACTGGGCCCGCTGTTCTAAAAGCTTTTTTTGCTCTTCCTTTTCTCTGAGACGTTTCTCTTCCTAAGGAAAAAAAAAAAAAAAAATTAGGGAGAAAAAAAAAAAACCCAAAATGTTCTTAAGATGAAAAAGCTCATGCATTATTATAATCCTAAACAGAGGACTTTTTTTTTTTCTTTAAACAAAGCACATATATGCACACAATGTTTTAATACTAGCATAAATGAACAATAGATACCTGTTCTTTAAGAAGTTTCTGCCTTAGTAGCTCCTTTTCTTGCTCTTGCTTGGCCCGCAACTCCCGTTCCTCTTCATCCTGTTTGCGTGCCCGGGCCACGTGGTACTGGGCCTGGCTCAGTAAATCAGAGCATTGCCTACAACGTTCAGATTTAGAGAAACATGAACACACTATAGATTATTTAAAACTTCGAGCATTTGTTTTCCTTACATGCATTTTAAAAATTTGAAGCAGAAGGATTGGCTGATACCTATATGAAGTTGCACAGCTAAAAAGATTTCCAACATTGACTTCACATATGACTCAAAAGATAGGAATCATATCTTGATTCTAGTGACAGAGCTAACTCTAGTGAAATAGCATTTTTTCTCCAGAACCCAAGTACTTGTACTAAATCAATTTTGCTTAATTTCCTGAAAGGAAAAAGCCTTAGCACAGGTTTGGGCATCCCCATGAAGAGTGCAAAAAGACTGACTTTTGGGAGGATGCGAACCCTGTTCACTACTGTGACAATCTCTCAGTCCACACCAATATCACTAAAATGGGTGACCACTTGATGCCTTCCATATACAGTAACATTACCTGGCTTCTGTAGCAGCGAGGGCCAAATCGAATCTCATTTTATCTCCCACTTTACTTAAGTAACTGAAGTATCTAAATGAAGTGAGAAAATAATTTGCTTTAAAAAAAGATTCTAATGAAACAAGACCCTCTATATTTCTATAAAACAGTCTGAGAAAAGGTTTATGTATTTCCCAACTTATATGAATTATTTAATGCATAAAAACCCTATCATTTCAATAGGAAAATATACACATTTCTCATTTTTTAAAAAAGCTCATCAATATGCCATTCAGTATGTTTAATAAAACATAAGTTTATCCAAAAAAATCAAAGATATATTTAATATTATCAGAAAATCCAGAATTACCCCCAAAACCATGCAATGAATGTTTGATACACTCTACATTTACTAAATATGTCATATGGAGATAAGAGTACTTAGGCCATGAAAGCACCTATACTTTATCAGATACCAAAACAAAAAAAGAATGTATACACAATTGGGATAAAACCTGAAGGAATGTCAATATTTAACTTTATCACTAACTGAATTAATAAATAAATAATACAAGGTTAAACAAAGTTTTAGATGAGATGAATAAATCTATTAAACAATATTTAAGAGATAAGATCTTAATTCAATCTTAACAAAAATCAACATTATCCTAAAAAGACACACTATTGTAAAAAATAAAAAACAATGTAAGTGCACTTTAAAAATTTCGCATTTAAAATGCTAGATCACATTATTGTCAGATTAATGAGCAATCTAGGGCAAGCGTACAAAGCTAGCCCCCAGCTACATGATGGCAGGATAAGGGCTACAGTTTGGTGCCCCCTGGTGGTAAGTATCTGCTTTGGTTTAAATATTGGCAGAATGATTCTAATGGAGTTATTTACTTATTTATTTTTGGTACTGGTGATTGAACTCAGGGGCACTCAACCACTGAGCCACTTCCCAAGCCCTATTTTTAAATTTTATTTAGAGACAGGGTCTCACTGAGTTGCTCAGCCTTGTTGCTGAGGCTAGCTTTGAACTCGTGACCTCCTGCCTCAGCCTTCTGAGCAGCTAGGATTACAGGCTTACGTCACTGCACCCAGCTTTGGAGTTGTTATTATTTTTTTGTGGTGCTGGGGATTGAACCCAGGGCCTTATGCATGCCAGGCAAGCACTCTACCAAYTGAGGTATACCCCAGCCCTGGAGTTATTTTTTGAAGAAAGTGATTTTCAGCATTTTTTTGAGACAAACAGTTTTGTGTGTGTGTGTGTGTATATGTGRTACCAGCAATAAAACCCAGGGCCTCACACAGTGTTCTACCACTGAGTCACATCCCCAGCTTTTGTTTATTTTTATTTTGATACAGATTCTCAATAAATTGTCCAGGATGACTCAAAATTGCAATCCTCCTACCTGGGTCTCTGAGTAGCTGCAAATATAGGTATGTGCCACTGAACCTTATAAGACAAACAGTTTTAAAGTGACAAATCATTTCAAAAGTGGATTCTATAAAATCTCTTACCTATGTGCAAGCTCCAGTTCTTTCACAGCATTGAGTACTTCCTTCAGATTACTTTTTTCATCTTTCAGGACAGAGGTAGCTAATCTTTGCAATACCAACGCCACATTAAACATAAGAACTGTATCACTGGGTGCTACATGTCTAGCCTGTAAACAAAAAGAAAGCAGATTATCTCATATGATCTAATGACATGAAGAGTTTTAATCAAATAAGTGTGCTAGTACATTTACACACACAAACACACACATAAAATGCAATACAGCATAGGAATGGACAAGAGTAAGAGTGAATTCTCCCTATTACCTTCAGTAGAGTCTGTTTGCATTCCTGTAACTTGCCACATTTGAAGAGGGCCCTGGCCAAATAGAGCACAACTTCAGTATTTTGATGTTTATAAAACTTTCTAAGGCAGTTTTCATACTAAAAAAGAAAGAAAGAAAAGAAAAAGTTAATTAAAAATACAACAGAGTAAGTGATATTTTCATTTTGTAGCAAAATTTTAAGCCATTTTAAAGCTCTGTGAAAATGTATTCTTCTCTGGTTAATTTTAGAGAATAATTTGAGAATTTTTTTTTTTTTTTTTTACATTCATCAGGAAACATTTTCACAACATAAAAATCTGATCACAGAAACATAAATCTATTAACTTCCTTCTTTCCCTCCTCCCTTTCGCTTCTTCTCTCCTCTTCCTTCCTTTTCTCTTCTTTTTTTTTTCCCCCAATGTTAGGGACAGAATTCAGGGCCTCACATATGCTAAGGAAGCACTCTACCACTAAACCACATCCCTAGCCCTGGAAACTCTTTTTCATATGTTTAGCAATACTACCTACAATCTATTTATTGGCCACTTAATAGAAGTTATATACCTGGATCCTTTCAGTTATAGTCTCTAGCGCCTTTATTTAGATTTGTGGAACCTACCAGAAAGGAGCATAAGGAGTCTTACAGTTCTGTTTGTTAATTTGTTGGTAAAACCAATATAACAATACCAGTGTTCATTGTGACATGAACATGGCTCTTTTTGACCATGGAATATATCTTGTCAAAGGTAAATGACAAGATGATTTCAAGGAAAATGGTTAGTTCCCCCCCAACTCTCCCTAGTGATTTATTTGTGTTTATAAAGGGAAATATTATCATTTTGAGATAGGAAGTCTTAAGAAGTCTTAAAAAAACCTCTGAGATTACCATATGCAATCTGGGTTCTGTTACTCTGTAGTAGTGTCTAGAAAAATTGTATCTAGAAAAAAAGGTAAACCACTTCCCAAAGCCTATACTTATACTAGTTTATTCTGCCTTTTATAAGAAGCTTGTTCTTTCTGATCATAAATTATGAGCATAAGAGTCTTTTTACTTTTTAATGTTATAGATGCTGAGTACAACTTTTATTTCAAGTTCAAGCACTCAACAAATATGATATGCATAAAAAATTCTACAGGCATGACACTCTATCCCCATAATTTTTTCTTTTTTAAAAGAAGCTATCTAAGATAAGTACAGTCCCTGTAATCCCAGCTACTCAGGAGGCTTAACTAGGAGGATCACTTGCCCGAGCCCAGAAATTTAAGATTATCTTGGGCAACACAGAGACCCCCATCTCAAAATACACATATAAGTAAATGAATAAATAAAGTAGGTCATTTAACCTTTTTGAAACTCAGTTCAGTTCAACAACTGAACAAATATTAAATCTACTTTTCCTGGATACGTAAAGAGTATTCTAGGAATGTTAGTGCCAAATACTGGATCCTTACAAAATTCTATGTGGTTAAGGTACAATTATCTCCCTTTCATAGATAGGAAAACCAGGTCAAAGAAAATGTTCTTTGCCCAAGGCATGTAATTAGTGGCGGAACCAGGACTCACATCTATCAGGACAACAAAGTTTGTCCTTATCATTATATAATTATAAACCTCTGAACAAAGTAGAGAATTCATGCAGCTCCACAAGAGGGCCAGAATGGTTAAGGAATTCTGTTTATCAATGAATGTGACATGAAGATATATTGAAAGATAAGACATTACCATCTGAACAGCACTGATATACTGCTTTTGCTCCACATAGATGTGTGCTAAGTTCAACCACACATCACTGATATCTGCTGTTGCTTCTCTTACTTGGGCAAATACATCACGAGCTTCACGGAAATATCCTTTGTGGGCCAAAACAGCTCCTAAAGTTATAAAAAGGCTCACATTCAAAAATTTTCTAACCATAGCCAGAAAAACAACTAAAAGCGCAATTTAATTTATTTATTTATATATATTTTTGGTACTGTGGATTGAATCAGGGGTACTCGACCACTGAGCCACATCCCCAGCCCCCTTTTTTGTATTTTTTATTTAGAGACAGGGTCTCACCGAGTTGCTTAGTGCTTTGCCATTGCTGAGGCTGGCTAAAAGCACAATTTTAAAACAACTACATAGTTAGAGAGAAAAACCTGATTTACAAACATGCCTCCAAAAGCATTCACTTCACAAATCATTATGGATACCCAAGTCTTTTAATTACCTATGCCATTAGCAGCATACAGATTCTTTGCATCATTTCTAAGAACTTGTTTATAGATGGCCAGAGCACGATCTTGATGACGCTTTTCCTGAAAGAAGAATCAAGCATTATTAAAAAAATTTAACCAACATGCAGAATCTCAGTTTTGCTTAAAAAGATAAAACAGATTACCTTTTCTCGGTCTCGGGTGGGCTGATGCAAAGTTTGGAGCCACACATTGCCAAGGGCTAGCATAGAGTAAGTGTCACTCTGTGTGGAGGGCTGTTTTAATATCCTCTCAAATTTCTTCTGGCCTGGACCCCATTCTTGTTTTGCCAAATGAAGATTACCAATCAAAGACCAAGCATCTGGATGATCCTGAAACACACATATGATAGCTAACAAATGATGTGTTATAACTTTCAAATAGAGTTGAGACTCGTTAGTGAGTTGCAAAATTAGCTTAATGTATAGTTATCAGTATATAAAGTGTAACAGAAAGGAATACAGTAAAATATCACTATACTGCCCATTGGTGAGGGCAAATGATGATTTGCAAAACTTTCAGTTGTTTGTATACACATACATTACATGTGTACTAGACAGTAATGTGAAATCTATTTCTGATTGGCTACAACCAAAATTAAATTAAATTAAACCAAAAAAATTTAAATTTTTTAATAACGCTTGTTTCTTCTTACAGCAAAAGCGTCATCAAGATCGTGCTCTGGCCATCTACAAACAAATTCTCAGAAATAATGCAAAGAATCTGTATGCTGCTAATGGCATAGGTAATTAATTTAGACGACCTCTAAAGTTCCATTTAAAATGCTAAGATACTATAAACTTTTCTCATACAGTGCAACTAAATCCTTATATGTGAAGAAAGTAGAGAGGATAAAAGACACCTGAGCTATGTCATATGTTGATGTATAGGTGAAAGGATAGAATGGGGAAATAGAAGGAACAAGAAGGGACATAGAAGAGATCTATATAAATAACGTAGTCCCCCTTATTACATGATTAATCATGCAACCTACTATACTCTTCGATATCTTATATAAGTGGAAAGAAAAAAAACAACACCAAAAAAAAAAAATAAGCAAAACAAAACAAAACAAAACAAACCCAGAAGGATGCCAAGATTATTAGAAACACGAGTCATTAAAAGGAAAAACAGAGCTAGGCATAGTAGCACATGCTTGTAATTCCAGCTATTTGGGAGGCTGAAACAGGAGGATTGCAAGTTTGAAGTCAGCCTGGGTGATTTAGTAAGATTCTGTCTCAAAAGCAAAAAATAAGAAGAGCTGAGAAAGTAGCTCGGTAGTAGAATGCTTGCCTAGCATGCACAAGGTCCTAAGTTCAATCCCTAGTACAGAGAAGAAAGAGAGGAGAGAAAGGAAGGGAGGGAGGGACAGAGGGAAAGAGAGAAATAAAGAAAAGCGGGGTATAAAGTGAAAATAATTATTTCTCAAGAGTCAGTATTACTAACCTGATTAATCTGAAGAGCTTCCTTAAACCAATCTGAAGCCTCATAAAAGTTTCCTTTATCTCTGGCCATGGCTCCTAGACGCAAATAGCCTGAAAAAATACATTCAAAAGTTTTTATGTTCAAAATATTAGCCATAAATGATCATAACTTTAAAGTCATACTTTTGAGAAAATTGTGTTTGTTAATACATCCATATAAGGAACAGAAAGTCTCATAGGTGAAGAAACATCAAACATCAACCTATTGAGTTATAATTTTGGAATCAAGTCTCATGCTTGAAATCTAAGATTCATCTCTTCCAGTTCATTCCAAAAGCTAGCTCCCTGCTGCAAGTCCTTACCTCAAGCCAAGTTATTTTAAARGTTCTGTTTCCAATTTCTCTTCAATGTATACTACTACCAGTTATTTTTTCTTAAAAAAAGTAACTGGTATGAAAAGTAGTGAATGAAAAGTAGTCATATGAAAAGTAGTGAATAGCTACTAGAGACCATCAGTTAGAAGGCCTGAGTTCTGACCTTGGTTCTTCCACTTAAAAAAAATATAGTTCCATACAAATTTAAGTTGTTTTCTCTGGAAAATTTCTCCTCAAGAAACCAATAATGTGCCAGGTGCAGTGGTGGCACATGCCTGTGATCCCAGTAGCTCAGGAGGCTCAGGCAGAAAGATTGTGAGTTCAAAGCCAGCCTCAGCAATTTAGCAAGGCCGTAAGCAATTCAGTGAGAGCCTGTCTCTAATAAAATATTAAAAAAAGGCTAGAGATGTGGCTCAGTGGTTAAGTGTCCCTGGGCTCAATCCCTAGTATCAAAAAACAAAACAAAAAAACAATAATGGCTATTACCTATCAAATCAATTTAAATTCAATCTGTTATTCAACTAAAATATTATTTATTCTTGAGCTGGGGATACAGCTTAGTTGGTAGAGTGCTTGCCTCACATGCACAAGGCCCTAGGTTGGATCCCCAGCACCACATACACATATACACTTACATATAAAAAGAAAAGAAGGGCTGGGTTATGGCTCAGCAATAGCGCACTTGCTTGGCATGYGTGAGGCACTGGGTTCGATTCTCAGCACCACGTATAAATTAAAATAAATAAAGGTTTATCAAGAACTTAAAAAATTTTGTTTCATGGACTGGAGTTGTGGCTCAGTGGTATAGTGCTTGTCCCGTATGTGTGAGGCCCTGAGTTCAATCCTGAGCACCACATATAAATAAATAAAAGATCCATTGATGCCTAAAAAAATATTTTTTTAAAATCTTATTTATTCTAAATCACTTTTGCATCCATGATGGCAAGACAGATGCAAAAAAAAAAAAAAAAAAAAAAAAAGATCTGACTAGAATCAAAACATGTTTTAGGTACTTTTTAAATAAAGTACGGAAGTCCCCATTATCCTTGAAGGATTCATTCCAAGTCCCCCAATAAATGCTAGAAACTGTAGATAGTAATGAACACTATAATTATGGGTTTTTTCTGATATATATAGAGAATTTATCTGATAAAGTTTAACTTATAAATTAAGATAGTAAGCCAGGCGCGGTGGTGCATGCCTGTAATCCCAGCAGCACAGGAGGCAGAGACAGGAGGATTACAAGTTCAAAGCCAGCCTCAGCAATGGCAAGGCACTTAGCAACTCAGTGAGACCCTGTGTCTAAATAAAATATAAACATAGGGCTGGGAATGTGGCTCAGTGGTTAAGTGCCTCTGAGTTCAATCCCCAGTACCAAAAAAAAAAAAAAAAAAAAAATTTAGTAAAAGATAAAACAATAGAACAATTACAACAATATACTGTAATGAAAGTTACATGAATATGATCTTTCTCTAAAAATCTCTTATTGTACTATATAGATCTTAGTAACCTCAGCATATAATTTATTCATTTTTCTTCCTTATTAACTGATATGGCTACTAAGTTACTAACAGATGGGTAATATATACAGCATTGATACACTGGACAAAGGGATGATTCATATCCTGGGCTAGATGGAGTAGGATAGGACAAGATTTCATCACACTACTTAGAATGGTGTACAATTTAGAACTTATAAACTGTTTAATTCTGGAATTTTCTGTGTAACACTTTGGGACAACAGTTGAACTGTGGGCAAATAAAACTGAGAGTGAAACTATGGATAAGGAGGGACTACTATATGTTATTGTAAATTATTTTTTAATTATAAACTTTGAATATTTTACAATGTCTAAGTTGTAAAAACTCAAAGTAGGACATTTGAGTAATAATTGTTTCAAGGAAAACCACTTCTCTTACTCTTATAAACACGTAAAAATGTTGATATGAAATCAAAGGATAGTTACAAAAGTAAATCCACTATCAAAATATGCCAAGGAGTTACTAAAAGCTTAACAAAGGTAGCAGACCCACTGAACATAGCCTCATTGAATATAGTTCAAGTAAATTTTGTTGTTTCTTTTGTTTTCTAGGATAAATGTAAGTGAAGCTGTCCTTTTTTTTTTTTAAGGCCACAGATCTGCCCTGAACAAAAAGGGACACCAGAACCTTCAAAATATACGATTGTTTCTAAGACTTTTTTCCCCAACTAAGTTTTTGCTGCTATTGTGGGAATTTTATTACATAAGCAAATTTAAAATTCTTACAGTCAACATAATTAGGATGCTCTCGTAAGATGTTTTTATATAGTTTTTCTGCTTCATGGAATTCACACATTGCCTCATACAGCCTGGCTAAATTGTATGATGTGGTAACAGAAATGGCATTATAATAATGTTCATCATGCTCAGCTTCTGCCTTTGCACGATCCAATGATGCCAAAAAATATTTCTGTGAGGAAGAAAAATTACATTGTTAAAAGATTTGATACATCTATAAAATATGCATTCAACTTGATCAAGTATAAAAGAAGGGAAGATTTCAATTTTCCTACCTTTGCCTCCCCTAGGTTTCCAAGTCTAAAATGGAGGGCACCAACGTTATTTAGAATCTCAGGGGGAACATCAGCCTGCACTTTCTCTTGAAGGATTCGTGTTGCTGTTCCATAGGCTGAAAGGGCACCCTGTATTTTTGCAGTGGACAAAATACGGTATGTGTGCAAATCAAAAAGAAATAGTACACCATGTTTACAAAAAACACATATAGAAGATGAAAAGCATGACTACAATACCTGTATATCAGTCTGTTCCAAGATTTGTGCCAATTCAATCCAAGCTTCAACATCATCGGGATATTGTTCTGTGACCTTCTTCAAATGGCCCTGGGATAAAGAGAGCATCATATAAGTGCTGTAAAAGTAATAAATGGTGGCTAACTTAGCTAACTTAAAGTCAACTGCTTTTTTATCTAAAGCAGAACAAGCTCATTTAACAAAACTGCTTCTACTGTAGCTCTACTAGCAAAAACAATAAATGAGCCAGGCATAGTGGTGCACACCTATAATCCCAGTGGTTCAGGAGACTGAGGAAGGAGGACTGAAMGTTCAAAGCCAGCCTCATCAACTTAGCAAAGCCCTAAGCAAGACCCTTTCTCTAAGTAAAATATAAAAAAGGGCTGGGGATGTGACTCAGTGCCACTGGGTTCAATCCCTGATACCAAATAAAACAAAACAAAACAAGAAATAAGGACTTTGTCAAGGTTTTTATAAATTTACCTTGGCAATATCTCGTTTTTCTTGATCTTCTGAGGCAGCATAGAGAGAACCAAGAATTTTCATAGTTTCATAATTATTAGGATAAGCTTTCAAAACTTTCTCAAAACATTGAGATGCATTTTCTTTGTCACCTCGATAAATATACATTTGTCCCAAGCCAAAAAATGGCAGCACAAAAGAGGATGAGGCAAACTGTGTGGCTTGATAGTAGTACTGAAAAGCTTGGTCATAATCTTCCTAAAAACAAACAAATAAGACCACAAAAAAAGGTTAAAAAAAGGTTAAAAAGAGCTGAAAAACTATAAATGCAAGAACTAGATATTTAGAGATGTTATAAAATCATATTACCTGAACGTGGAATGATCTGGCCAGCTGATAGCAACTTTCTGCTTGCATAGCCTCCACTTCTGTATTATGGAATGCATGAAGAGCCAGGTGCTGGACTTTACTATAATCCTGAATAACAGAGATTAAGTTGGATTAGCTGCTCTATAAATCATAACATTTCATTTATGTATATAACACATTTCCATCTTCTCCCTAAATAGTTGTCTATTAGTACTATAACCATTATAGCCTAAAGCTTAATCGTAATTCATATGAAAGTACAGTGTACTTCTATAGCCAGTGTAAAAACTACGATTAGTAGCCATGTACACTTAGGCTATTAATTATGCCTCAGTTTGCTCATCCACAAAATGGGGAGATTACTTATTTCAGWGAATTGTTGTGAAGATTACAGAATACTTGGAATGCATATTGATAACAACATAGTAGCTCTTACCAATAAGATTTGATACATTTTTGTGAGCTTTTATTTAAATTGCTATTTAACTGGTTTAAAATTCTTAGTATAATTTAGTATCTGGTTTCAATACGGTAGGTTAAATTTTCATGTTCACTTTATAAAAACTCTGTCAACAAAATCTTGGTTACATATTTTAATATACCTAAAATATCACTGCTTCTACAGAATTAGTGGCAACTTTAAAAATGTATCACAGTAAACTTGCAAACATAAAAATATCAATGACTCCTTGTTACCCACATAAGTACATCCAAATTCTACTACACAAATGCCTCACTCTCTGGATCCAATGCATTGCCGGTCAAAAAGTCCACCACATGCTATGCTCTCACTGAACTAAACTGCTGAGACTATTTTTAAGAAGTCWATCTTTCCCTTTTCAACTGCTTAATGCTCACCTCCTAAAAACCTAGTTTGAGAGCTTTTCCGTTGTGGTGAAAACCCTTCATAATCACTTGATCACTTCCTAATTTTTCTACCATTAGTTGGCAGAGACCTTTATTTTTACATTTACATTTGCTTACTCAACTGTGTTTTCTATGAAACTTATCTCCTTGAGTGCAGAAACCATGTCTCACTCATCTCCACATTCATATCACAGTGTCATACACAGTATAAATGTCAATAAATATTAAGTAAATGAATGAATAAACAAATATATCCAAGCCCAAGTAACTAATATAAACTAATTTGGAAAAAACTCTTTTGACATTTTCAATTTTTTTTCCAAGTTAAAAAAAAAATAAGGAATCAACTACATTCAGGAAAACAAAAATCAGGATTTAAAAATAAATGATTCCTCCTACCTTTTTGAAGAAAAAATGATTTGCCAAGTGGTTTAATACCATAGGGTTGCTAGGATCAATAGTATAGGCCCTGGAAAGAAGCTGGACACCATTTTTGATGGAATCAGCCTAAAAGAAAACATTGCAACAGAGTGGAGTGGAAACATTACTTAATTAGCACTTATTCAAAATTTTCTTTATATCCTCAAAAAAATAAGGTTATATAATCCTAAATTCAGACACCAAGATACAACTCTTATTATAGTTAGTCATTACCAAGAATGACAAATTTCAATCAACGAGTCCCCAAATTGTTAGAATTTAGTTTTCTTAACAAAACTTAAATAATAAGTTACACCTATAATCCSAGCTATTTGGGAGGTTAAGGCAGGAAAACTATAAGCTTAAGGCAGGCCTGGGCAACTTAGCAAGACCCTGTCTCAAAAATAAAAAAWAAAAAAGCTGGCAATGTAGCTTAGTTTTAGAGCAATTTAGTCCCCAGTACTGAAAAAAAATCAAACCAACTAACTAATTATAAAAGCACCCTCACTGTAAAGAATTCCTTATTCTCTGACACTAGGTTCATATAATAAATACATTTGCTATTATTGTTTTAAATAGTTCATACTGATCTCCAAGGGCAAATATTAGAAAATATTGCCCAAACCTATTTTTCAACAACTTTAATGAACTTTGTATTTATTGAGCTATATACTTTATATGCTATGTTGAGCAAATTGTGCCATTTTGCCATTGCAACAAGAAAGATCAGCCTCTTGTGAATTTTAAATATYGATGTTGCATTTGCAATGAAATCCCCCTTTTAATCCTCAATATTCTGCCACCCAGGGGGTTGCCCCATTTTTTCCTCTTTTTATTCTCTTGTTCAGTTCTTGAGATTTATCTACTTTTTAGTTCCTGCCTCAGCTGTCTTTTTGGTGTGACAGCCATATCTATGGATAACACAACAATGATTTTGCTTCTCTTTCCCTACTAAAAAAATGGAAATTTTATAGCCTGTGTGATTTCAGGAAGGAAAGCTCCCTTCCCCTCCTCACAATCCCATTATTGGTTTTCATCAGTCAAGAGAATCTATTCCTCATTTCTGGAGACTGGTTTAAAGCAGAGGTTCTGAACTAGGAACAATGTCATTTTTTGGTTTTCTCAAGTGGGGAGATGCTACAACAGTGCTGATGCTGAGAAACACTGGTGACCTTATTTTGGACAGTAATAAATAAGAAACATGATGGGGGAACTTCTCAATATAAGATAGAGATTCTCTAAGAAATACTTTTATCCTTTCCATTTTCTCCTCTAGTGTAATAACAAGATGCCTGGAAAGGTGGCAGCCATCTTATGAGGTGACAGACATGATGCAGAAAGGCCATACACACTGGGCTGGGGTTGAATAGAGCATTTGCCTAGCATGTGAGAGGCAATAGGTTCAGTGTGCATATAAATAAATTTTWAAAAAATGCTTAAACATTTCTACTTATGAGTTGCAAAATTCCCCAAATTAGCCTCAGTATAGCTACACTACAAAATTGCTTGGCCTACCACACTAAGGAAAGGTGGATAGAAAGATATTTTAAAAACTCTCGGTTTGATGGCTCTGAAGTGCCATATCTGAGAGCTTAGACATTTGGTTTAAAACCCTTATGTTTTCAAGTTGCTGAACTGTTTTTTTKTTGTTGTTGTTGTTGTTGTTACTTGCAACTGAAAGCATTCCAAACGGATACACAGGTCTACAATCCTTATGTGAAATTCAAAAACAATTTTTWAAAAAAATATCCAGGTTTTTGTAATCATGGAGCAAATTCACTTGATGGGAACCCTTTATCCGAATTGTGAGGCTATCGTATTAGTATGAAAAGTAACCATTTTGCCACAGAAATAYGTGTACTTTGGGGGCAGTGCCCCAATAACTTAAGTATTATATATTATGCAGTATAAGTACCATATTAACCTTTCTATAATCAAAAGTCTTGATTTCTAAGGCATATCTGCCCTGAGAACTTTAAAATACAAGACTGTAGGTTAGACAAATGAGTCAAAAATATCTCCCTTACATACCTCTTTATTGTTGAGTTCTAGAACAGCCAGGCCAACCAATGCTCCCACACATTTGGAATTGAGTTCTAAGGCTCTGCTGAATGCTAGACGGGCTTTCTCTAGTTTGTTAAGTTTCACAAAGCAATGGCCCATTCCTAAACGAACTTCAGCTAAAAATAAAATCAAGTCATTCAATTTGTCAAATTAAGCATTTTTAGAGTTCAATTACAAGAATGCTTAAACATTTTCTACTTATGAGTTGCAAAATTCCCCAAATTAGCCTCAGTATAGCTACACTACAAAATTGCTTGGCCTACCACAAATTGATTTCACTAGAGGTTAGACTGTAACACTCTCTACCTCTCTCACCTCTTTCTATCATTGAACAGAACATCTATAATAATATTGGTATTATTCTTTCTCCTAACACCCCTGCTATATTTTACCTTCATCAACATGCCTCACTCAATTTCAAATTCTTGAAGAGAAATACTTAAAAAGAGAAAAATTTCATTAAGACTTCAAATATTGTGTCCAATTCCACATATATACCATCATTCCCTTCAGATCTATGCTTATATGTGCTACCTCATTTCAAGACCATTCAGAACACAAACAATTCCTACCTAAGGCCAACTTCTATGATAGTCACTGGATTCTTTTTCATCTATTTGAGGCCACTGCTTCACCAACCCTTCCCTATTTTTCCTGCATAAAATATATTTTCCTTCTCTACTGGATCATCCTCATTCACATACAAGCATTCCCCCATTTTTTTTTTTTTTTTACAGTGCTGAGGATTGAAACAGGGCTTTGCATAGGCTAGGCAAGCACTCCACCAACTATGCTATATTTCCATCCCTATAAACATCCTTTGTTGAATTAATTTCCTTTCCCAGTTATCAATTTATTTCTGTTCTTCCCTTGGGAGCAAAATTCCTTGAAACACACAACAACTGCTGTCTCTAATTCCTTTCCTTCCATTTTTCTCTTGAACTCACTCCAGTGAGGTGCTTGCTCCCACCATTCCAGAAAAAATTGCTTTTATCAAGGTCATTAATGATCTAAATGCTCTTTAATCCAAAGATCATTTCTCTGCCCCTATTTTATTTGGCCTAACAATATACCTATTCTTTATGAAAATGTTTTATACTGCACTTACCTTGTTTTCCTCCTATACATCTAGCTTTTCCTTCTCAGGTCCCTTTGCTGATTCTTTCTCATTTTCCTCACCTCTAAATATCAGAGTGCTCTAGAGCTTCACCCAGGACCTCTTTTCTGTCTCCATTCACTCCCCTGGTAATTTCATGTAGTCTCATAGCTTATATACCATCTATATGTTGATGACTTCCAAATTCATTACTTCAGCCCAGACCTTTTTCCTGAACTCTTGAAGGTCTGATCTCTTTCTTCCCTTGTTGCCTCTTCAAACTTTTCATGTCTAAAACTAGCTCYCCTTGAACTATTTTTCCAAATGTAGTAAAATATAACTACATTCTTCCTACTGCTTATTCAAGAGTTACCTTTGCTTCTTACTCTTGTCTTTACACATCACATCTACTCTATCAGCTCTCCCTTCAAATTACATCTAGAATCTGACTACTTGTACCATTGCCACTATTAGCACCCAGATGAGCCACAATCACACATGACCTGGATGACTGTGATAACCTTCTCCCTAGTCATCCTACTTCTGTCATTGCCTACTCACCCACATCCCACTCTAGACTCAACTCAGAAGCTCAAATGACTCTTTTAAACTCTAAGTCAGATTATGCTTTTCTTCTGCTCAAAGTTCTCCAATGGCTTTTTATCTCTGTTACATTAAAAACTGATAATAATCTAGGATGCCCTACATGATTAGTACTAGGTTATATCTTTGATCCCATTTCTTACTATCCTCTCCCCCCACATCCCGCAGAGATTACTGTTTCTCAATCTTCCTTYAGTACTTTGTAACTCCTATGTTCCTCTGGGAATGATACTCTCCCATATATATGCATGGCTCTTAAGTTTTCTTAGGTCTTTACACAAATGTTATTATCTATGATGAATTTCCTTGGTCACCTTTTTTACYAACTCCCAATGCTTCTCATAGGCCTTTTTTGCTTTATTCTTCTTTTCAGCCTTTGGCAATATCTTACATAGTATACATTTTCCTCATTTCTTCCCCACTGGAAGTAAATTACATAGGGGTAGGGACTTTGATCTCTRGTTCATTGCTACATTTCCAAGGTTAAGAACAGTGCTAACATGTGTTGGTACCCAGTAAACATCTGCTAAATGAATAACATTTTGCAAAGTGTCATGGTTTGGATGTGAGGTTCCCCCCAAAAGCTCATGTGGGAGAAAATGCAAGGTTCAGAGGAGAAATGACTGGACTGTAAGAGTCTTAACCCAATCAGCAAATTAATCCTCTGATAGGGATTTAACTGAGGGGTAACTGAAGTGGTAGGGTTTGGCTGGAGGAGGTGGGAATCGGGGCATGGCTTTAGGGTATATACTTGTATCTAGCCAGTAGAGTTTCTCTCAGCTTCTTGATCATCATGTGAGTTGCTTCCCTTCACCACACTCTTCTGCCATGATGTCCTGTCTCACCTTGAGTCCCAAAGAATGGACTGCTGTCTATGGACTGAGATCTTTAAAACTGTGAGCCCCCAGATAAACCTTTCCTCCTCTACAATTCTGCTGGTTGGGTCATTTAGTCACAGTGGCAAAAAAAAAAAAAAAAAAAAAAAGGCTTACTAGGGCTGGGATTGTGGCTCAGTGACAAAGCATTTGCCTCATACAGGTGAGGCACTGGGTTCGATCCTCAGCACCACATAAAAATCAATACATGAAATAAAATATTATGTTCATGTATAACTAAAAAAAATTTAAAAAAAGGCTGATTAAAACAGAAATAAAAGTTGTATAGGGCAAAAGATTATAATATGATCCATTATCCAGCTATTAAATCAAAGATAACACTAAGAAAAAATAATCTTTCAGGAGGCTGAGGCTCTAAGGAACTTAGCAAGACCCAGTCTCAAAATAAAAAATAAAAAGGTTTGGGGATGTGGCTCAATGGTTAAGTACCCCTGGGTTAAACCACTGGTTGCCCCCCACCTCCCAAAAGAAAAAATATCTTGATTCTGTCATTTTAATACTCCAGTAGTATCTTTTCACAACTGACTTCATAAGAAACTATCAAATTATCAGTATTTCAAGTTGGGCCATATACAGATTAGACCTAAAATAAAGTTTTTCTTTTACCTGGGCATCCTGGATTAGTACGTAATGCCTTCTTATAGTAAGCAAGAGCTCCTCTGTAATCCTTTTTGTTGAATGAAATGCAAGCTTTACCTGTAATGATTTAAAAAAAAAAATAAACATGCACTGTCTGATTAATACAAATTTACTACACTTTATACTAACTACTTAAATTTAATACATCTTTCAGTAAGAAATACTTAAAAATAATGACCACAATTTCACATTAAAAACTTGTTTTCCATTTGGGTATATTAATTTATGTCAAAGACAGGATGTTCTGTCTTTATATTAAATGTTATAACGGAATAATTGCAACAACTTGAGTTGTCTAAGTATAGATTGTTTACTGACTTTCTGGAAGCAAATAAATTACTTTTAACTGGTATATATTTTATTTTTGCAATTTTAACAATAATCTATTGTAGATCATTTTATTTTTAACAGGATAAAGCTCTTCTACTTTGCTGTCCAGCTCAGTTATTAAGTTGCTATTACAAAGAGATACAGTCTAGACATATGCTGAAAAAACTAGATTCCTAAGATGGTTGCAAAGATCACTCACCAAGAAGGGCTGGGATGTTATTTGGAGATTGGTTGAGTACAAAATGAAATTGTGCATCAGCTTGATCCATTTTGTCACCTTCAAGTAGACAGAAGCAGGCTCTTCCCAACAAATGGTTCTATAAAATAATGTATCACCTTAGACTTTACTAAGGGTAAACAATAATTTACCATAAATGTACAAATAAAAATGAAAACCACATAGGAAAGTTCAATAAATAATAATTTATTTCTATACAGATGATATAAATGATTTACTCATCATGTACCCAAATTGGCTATTGCTCTCAACTGTAATGTTCAAGCTACCAATAAACAGTTCTTCACTACAAAATGAGAAATTATCCCAAAATGTAAAACCTCTGTGCCAATAACAATGACAAAGAACTATATTCAAGATTCCTTAAAATATGGTTGAATTTCACCTGGAAATGTTAGAATTATTGATTCAACAYAGGAGGACGTTTTACATACTAAATTTGTCTATATTACTTCAACAGTAAGTATAAGGATTGAAGGAATTCCAGTTTTAATGAGGAACCCTTCTTCTTCTTCTTCTTTTTTTGATTATATCAACATGGTTATTTTAAGAAACATTCTTTCAAAAACATCTGCTGCCTATCGCACACATTTTGTTTTCATATGGTAGTTTTATCCTTTCAGAAATATCAAGAAATTTGATTTGTTTTACCTGATCATACATTATAATTTTATCAGCCATTGTATACAGCAAGGTTGCCTGTGTAATAAGATCCTTCTTATTATCCTTGTTCTTTTCTTTTCGAGCCTGTTGTACATAATAGGCTGCTAGTGTATCCAAGCAAGTCATCTGGTCTTTTTCATGGTCTCTATAGTCCAAATTACCATCTATACGTGCTGCTTCCAACAACTTTACAAACTCTTCTGTTTTTCCTTGCTTGTAGTATTCCAGCTATAAGGTAAAGGATCAAATTAGATCATTAAAGCACACGTCCATATTAAAAAAAAAAACTCCACAAATATTTATAGCAGCTTTATTTGTAACAGCAAAATACTTGAAACAATCCAAATGTTGACTAATAAGTGAATGAATAAACAAATTGTAGTATAGTTGTACAACAAATACTATTCTGCCTCAAAAAGAAGTAAACAACATGGATACATCTCAAACCAATTATGCTGAGAAGAAAGCCAGAACAACAACAAAAAAGTACATATTGTGTGATTACATTTCCATATATTCTAGAAAATGCACACTAAATTTTAGCAAAATAAAAGGTTTGTCTGTCACTAGGGGGTTGGAGTACTATTAACTTAAATGAATTTTGCCTTTATCTTTATACATACTAATTTACCAGCAGAGTAGCATATCACTTAAGAAACTAGCCTTATTGTTCAATAAATGATAATTTATTTCCATACAGATGATATAAATGATTTACTTATCATGTACCCAAATTGGCTATTGCTACATCTGAAAACAGAAAACACATATTTTCCCAGTCAACAAATAAAAACTATTTGCTACATGAACACTGACCGCCAAAGCAATCCATATRTGCAGTTGTGTGTGTTCCTGTTTCAGAATACTGATAACTTCATCTCCCTCCGGTAACTGATCGAAGTCAAGTTCGATGACCTAAAACACAAAATGTAGGYTTTATCTCTTATTTTTATTTTTTAAATTCCTATTTTTCTTTTCAGTTTTTCCTGACTATATATCAACACACATATACAGAGGATACTCATTTTCAACAAGGTTTAGCCAACACACAGTTTTTATAAACACAGATTAATTATACAAATTAATGGGTTTCAGTGACAATTTCATACATGCAGATATCGTGCATTGATAATGTTCACCCTCCCTTCTACTCTTTCTTAACCTCCCTTATTTCCCTTTTCCTCCTGCTCCCCCTTCCCAATTCCATAAAAGTCCCTCTTCTACTTTCAAGTCTTTTTTTTTTTTTTTTTTTTAGTTTCCACATTTGAGAGAAAACATATGTCTGTGTTTTGGCCAATATGTATTAATATTTAGGGAGCACAGGACAAACAAACTACTAACACATTAAAGTAAAAGTCTAGAGAAACAAAGAACACTGGTAATTGTCCCCAAATACTAGAACTATAAAATGCTACAAATGCTTTGTTTACTCAAAAGTAACAAAACAAAACCCTATTTCATCTATAAATCCAAATAAAGTGCTGATAAGCACCCTGAAGAATGATGCCATAGGTCTGACACCTTGGAGAAACATGACTCTAGAGGCCATGCAAAGTTGAATGCCACTGTACACATAAATCATGGAAGCAACATTTGTGTGTCACAATCATTACTGAATGTGGGAACAAAAATAATAATAGAAAAATGTTCTGGAACTAGATGGAGGTAATAGTTTCACAACTTTGGGAATATATACAAAAGAAAACTGGATTTTATAAGTGAATTATATCTCGATATTATACCTCAAACCAACCAACCAAAATAAGTACATGCAATATCCAAGAAGATTGAACATCAAAGCTGAGATTTACTCAGACAAACCAAAGGCCACCCATGAATGAGGCAGTGTAAGGGAAAGGGGGTTAATTCCATCAGCACGCAGTAGTGGCTAAGTTTACTTCGCACATAGTGTACCACGACATACTCGAGTTTCTAATGCATAAGGGGCAACCTGCTATATATTCCTAGGAGTTCGAGTAGCAGGTGGATCACGGTGACATCGGCGCCCACCTCTGTAATCTGTGAGGTGCTTCAGTTTATTGGGCACTCTCACGCCCCTGCGCCGGTGAATCGGGAAAAAAATAAGAGTACTGTCAAATAAAAACAGGTTGGAGAGGAACTTTCAAGAACTCCTCCAGTAACCTGCCGGGATGCAGCGCAGGGGCGGGGGAAGGTGATCAGGGCTTTGGCTGGGGATTTCGATCGAGGCTTCTGCGGGAGAAGGGTGTGCCCTCTTCGGAAACGAAGTCTAGCGAAGTCGGTGGGGGTCATAGTCCAAGTTCACGACCCCCACCCCTTACACACTGGACACCTACCTCGTCAGTGTCCCGGAGGGGAATCTCGATAGAGCCCCGCGACATGATGAGATCCAAAGGCGAGCGGGAATAGCGCTCGCAGCTCAGCAGCCGGCAGTCCTCGCTTCTGGCTCGTCCAGGAGGTAGCGACCGCCCAGGAGCTGGTCGTGACTGCCGCCCCGCGGCGTTGTCGGAGCTCGGGCCTCTCCTTCCCGTCAGCCACTAAAACAACGAACAGCAGACGGCGACSGGTCACTTCCGGAGGCCCCGCCCCCTGCCCCGGAAGCACTGCCCGCGGGGGCGTGTCCGACGCAAGCTCTGCCTATGGCTCTGTTGTTTCCCTCTTCGGAATTATAGCTCCGAGGATGTTGGCGTGTCCGCAGCAGCCGGCCCAAGAGCCTGCGGGACCTTCAGGGCTCTGCGGCTTTGGAGTCTGAGCCTGGCGCTGGCGCGGGTCCCAGCCAAAGCCCGGAAGGCGTAGCCGCTCCGCCCAGCCGTGGGCGGGGCCTCTGGCTGACGTGTCCTCTGGAGGCGGGGCCTGGCCAGCCTTGTTTTTTTCTCTAGATTGTTGAGCACGATTCCATTCAGTCGTTCATCTCACCCAATCATTAGTTCATCGTCCGACAGCTGCTGCGTGCGAGTCATACCGCTGTTATCATGGTGACCAGTTTAAATAGGTTGCAATGAATTCTGTAATCACGGGATAAAACATGTAATCCTTTTTAATAGTTTTTTGAAGTATAGAGGATCTATTAAATTTGTGATTTTAATAAAATTGTGGAAGAACTTTATTAAATCTGTAATCAATATTTTGATTAAAGTATAGCATTTGGTTAAATTCGTTTATAATCAGTGTTTTTACTGAATCGGAGAAGTATCTCATTGAGAGTATGAGTTTTACTTCCCAACTTTTTCTCAGGCGCATGCCCTTCTCTTCACCATCTCTTCACCATCTAAACCACTATCATTACTCATCTGGATTACTACAGTCGCATTCTTTTGTACCCAATACTTTATCTTTTCTGGCCCTGAGCTCCAATCGAGCTTCAACCGTGTTACCCACTAGGATTTAAAAATATCTATCTGATTTTGTTTTTTTTCTCCCAGCTTAAAACTCTTAAGTGGAAACCTTGTTAAATTTATGTTTTGATTTATTGGTTGTGTAACAATTTTAATGTGTGTGGGTAATGTTGTCCAATACAAATACAATGCTAATAATGGGTAATTTAAAATTTTCTAGTGGCCACATCACAAGAGTGAAAAGCAGATGAAAAAAATTTTAGTAGTATATTTTATTTAACCCAATGTATCAAAGATATTATCATTTCAAATGATAAACACTATAAAATTTGAGATAATTTACATTTTTTTTTCCAGTATATACATAATACTGGTTTACTTCACCTTTAGAAAACAGCCCTTGCTGCTTATTTTAAAAAGGGACATGTTTTTCTTTTCCTCTTCTCCTTCTCCCTGTCACTAACCTTTTCCCATCCTGGACCAAGTTATCTTATCTTTGAGTGCACACCCACCATAGGAAAGAGTTGTCACCAGAAGACCTAAGAAGTGACTATCTCACAAATTAACAAATGAATTTCAATACACCATCAGGGACTGGACCTCTGTCAAAACACACCTGGAGTGCAGCTTTTGAGAAAGAGCTTCCTTAAAAGCCCTCTGTTCTCATTTTTGGGCAGAACCACAGTCTCTGGGACTGGATTCCCCTGTGCTTCTCTATAACTAGCAAAGCAATAAACCTTTTTCCTTTTTATCAAAACTGTGTTCTTATTATTAAATTGGCAATTTAATAATACTCAATTCATTTGCTTACTCTTAATTAGGTCTATATTTATTTATTTTTATTTTTTTTAAAAGAGAGTGAGAGAGGGGGGAGAGAGAGAGAGAGAGAGAGAGAGAGAGAATTTTTAATATTTATTTTTTAGTTATCACAACATCTTTCTTTGTATGTGGTGCTGAGGATCGAACCCGGGCTGCACGAATGCSAGGCGAGCGGGCTACCGCTTGAGCCACATTCTCAGCCCCGTAGGTCTATATTTAAATTTGATAAAATTTACAGTTGAAGAAAGATCTACATACATTAGTTTTTCTACAATTTCAATTAATTAAAAATTAAAAAATTTAAACTCAATTCTCAATTGGATGAGTCATATTTCAAGCACTCAACAGCCCCATGTGGTTAGTGAATACTGTGTTGGATAACAAAGAACAGTATTTCTTTATTTTATTTTTTGTGTGTGTGTGTGTGTGTGTGTTGCTGAGGATCGATCCTGGGGCCTCGCACGTGCTAGGCGAACGATCTACTGCTGAGCCACAACCCTAGCCCCAGAACAGTATTTCTAGAAATATGTTTAATACATTTTTAAGGTTTATAAAGTGAGCATTAAAAACATAGTAGTGKGGCTGGGGATGTGGCTCAAGTGGTAGCACGCTCACCTGGCATGCGTGAGGCACTGGGTTCAATTCTCAGCACCACATAAAAATAAAGATATTTTTAAAAAATGGTCAAGATGGTAAATTAAAAACAAAACCAAAAACATAGTAGTGATTGTTATTCTCTGTGCCCCCAAAACATTGCTGGTATTAAAGACCCTACTGATATGTTTGGTCTTTCAGCTTCTGAAAACCAAAGGCATCTTAACTTACAATGCAGAACAATATGATTGAATAGTAGAGGAGCTCAATTTAGATTGGGATTTGGAAGAAGGGACATTTAAATTGCAAAAGGGAAAATTAGCAAGATTTTGTTAGGTAAAGGATACAGGGGAATATATTTTAGTCAGTCAGAGAAGACAGCACTCTGGTGAAGACATTTCTGATCTTGAAAACCCACGTGGCTAGAACAGAAAAAGTGAGGGAAGCTGTTGAAGTGGCACATGCCTGCAATCCCAGCTACTCAGGTTGAAGCAGGAGGACTGCCCGTTCAAGGTCAGTCTGGGCAATTTGTCTCAAAACAAATATTTTAAAAAGGGCTGGGGATGTAGCTCAGTAATAGAGTGTCACTGTATTCAATCCCCAGTACTAAAAAAAAAAAAAAATGAATTAATTTAAAAATAAATAAATAAAAACAAGAGGAGAATATCATGAGAAGAAATTGAAAACAAGAAATACTCTGACCATGCTGGGCTTTATCCATAAAGCAAAACGGACAATTTGTACTGCTTCCAATGTAAATTAAATGTAGATATCACGCCCCATAGTTAGGAAACAGAAATACTTGGTGCTCTGAAATAAGYCTTAAAAGACCAGTAATTCACTATTTATTGTATCCAAAGTGAGTGAAATAGTCAGTATTTCCCATATGTTACTGACTCTTTAAAGTAAAACAATTTAATTGCTGACTTTGAAAATGCAAAAGTCAGAAGATATGAAATAATTTGGGGGTGCAGGCCAGTATATAAGAAAACTGCCTTTTTCCTAGCAGAATCCAACTAATTATAAGACTGTAATCTGTGTGCTTGGAGTGTATGTTTGTGTTTGTGTGTGTGTGTGTGTGTGTCTGTCTGTCTGCTGAGTGACTAGCACGCCAGCTTCATACTAGAGGTTCTAAGCATAGAAGTTAACTAGTGAGATCAAAATAAACACACATAAACTCAATTTACCTTTTTCTTTGACCAGGTCTGAGACAGCTCCCCCTCTGGCTCCTGCCTCGAGCCAATCAGTGGGATATCGAGGTTTATACAAGAGACTTGCAGGAGAGAGAGAGAGAGAGCTTAGCATCTTGCTATTGACGAGGCTGCCTTTGAACTCTAGATCCTCCTGACTCAGGCTCCCRAGCCTCTGGGATTACAGGCATGGACTGATTTTTTAATTTTGAGACAGGATCTCACTAAGTTGCTTAGAGCCTTGCTGAAYGGCTAAGGCCGCCTTTGAACTTGACAGAAGGTTTTATCTTAGATGCTATGTGACTGAAGAGATTTAAGTGATGTGTTTATGTCAATGAGAGGATGAGAGAGAATTGATTTTGTGGTTCTAAAAGATTATTCTGACAATGGGGTAGAAAATGGATTACAAAGTGAGAGGATGTAGGCAGATCACTTGGGAAACCACTGTTGCAGCGACAGAATAAATAGCTAGGTATAGGTTTAAAGAAATGGAGGTAGAAAGAAATGAATGGGTTTAAGCTGTATCTCCGTCTATCCATTGATTGATCAATCAGTAATCACAAGGACTTGCCAAGGTATCAATATAGGGGTAACTGAAAAAGTAGTGTTGAAAAAAACTTTAAAAATCTCTGGCATAAACAACTGGTTAAATATATGCCATTTCCTATGGTAGAAAAGACTAGTGGAGGAGCACATTTGGGCGATGATGGATCATTAGTTGAGTTTTAGATGTGTTGTTCACACTGTTTCTGGGACATCCTAGTAAATTCATAGCGAAGTCACCTAATCATTTGATTAACAGGCAGTGAGGGCTTTGCTAAGGCTAACCAGATAGTGGTGGGTGAGAGCCAAAGGTTGTCCATATTCTAGTGACTTGTGTTTTAACTCCCACATGGAGACAGAATTAGACTTTGGGCCTATCCTGGAACCCTTAAAAGACTACATACACCCTAAGTGAAAGGGGAAGCTAGAAACAACCCCACTGTTACAAATACTGCAGTGATGCAAAAAAAAAAAAAAAAAAGAAAAGAAAAAGAAAAGAAAAAAAAAGAAAGAAAGAAAGATAGAAAAGAAAAATAAAAAATCTTGAAACTGGGTGGGCAAAGCAAACTTTTACCCCTGCCAGAAGAGTGAGCTACCAGAACCTGGCTAGCAAGCAGCTAGGCAGGCAGGCCTTGTGCTTACATGCCCTTCACTCTGATTGGAGGAGTTTGGGGTTACAATCTATGGGAATGGCTAGTTTTAAAACTGGGGGTGGACAAAGGGAAGGGCTGTAATTAAAATAGCTACAGTTGGATCCAATGGAGGCTATATTCTGGAAATGGACCACTGGACTTCTATTTCTCATACCACCAAAAGAGATGCCAGTCTGGCTCCTGGGTATTCCAGTTAAAGATTGCATAGGTCTGTATCTCAGGTAGGTTCCATGTTGGACATTTACCTGTTTGGGAGTCTCCAAGGCATGAGATTAGTATAGAAATTATCCCAAAATGTGACATTCTTGGCATGCCTAGTCTGGTGGCCTAACCTCTTTGGTTGATCCTTACATCCTCTGGTAGTAATTACATAATAGTAACTAACAGGTAGTGAATGTTTGTGTCAGATTTTACATGCCCAAACTCATTGAATCATTAAAACAACCCTATGCAGTAAACACAGCACTATCTATGGATGGTGTGGTGTGACCAGGGTGGGAGAAGGGTAGTCCTATCTGTCTCCTAGGATTGGTTTAAAAATAAGATGAAGTGGGTGGGGAGTGAAAGGGGGTTGGCGCATGCTGGTAATACTAGCAACTCAGGAGGCTGAGGCAGGAGAATTGCAAGTTCCAGGCCAGCCTCAGCAATTTAGCAAGACCCTATCGCAAAGTAAAAAAAAAAAAAAAAAAAGAAAAAAAAAATATATATATAAAGGGCTGGTTATGTGGCTCAGTGGGTAACACCTCTGGGTTCAATTACAGGTACCTAAATAAATAAATAAAATTAAGTATTGAGTGTGTTAGATCAGTGCTTATCTGTGT